TATATATATATATATATATATATAAATTACCACAGTTTCATTTATTATTATTTTATATTAACGTTTTATATGATAGATACACTTAGTAAAGCGATATTAGTTTTGATGCTTTTCAGATAAAGTACATTTCTATAGCAGAATTCAGTACAGTAGAAAGTAGTATTTTATCATTTAAATCAGTCGAGAAGATTAAGATAAATTTTATCATATAAGCTTTCCTTTTCTTTCTATTCATTTTCTTTTTCTTTAAACTACACCTTCAGATTGATTTTGAACGAAGCAACGTTTATTAGTAATCCTTTATTTATAGAAAACATTTTTTAAAATGCTTGCATAAATAGTGAAATATTTATAGTTTAATCGTAAGATTAGACGCGATAAGAAACTTCCTATTCTCTTTCATTTTCTTTTTTGATATTTCTTTCTGCGGGACATTGATGTTATAATATCATTCCTAGACAGGAAACAAAATGGATTTATTAAATGGAATAGCTTGAAATAAAAATGTTTTCCTGATATTCTGGATAATTATTAAAAATAGATGGACACACTTTAGCAATTTAAGGCAAACATATATATGATTTAGTGAGTTATCGTTTCTTCTTTTTCCTTCTGCAGCAGTTTCTCATGTATTCCGTTTTCTCGCGATGACAAATAGAGCGAAACATGCCTTTTTATTTACTTAAGCAAACATCTCGGATTTTGTGAAAAATGTAATAAATACAACCGCGGCGGCGTGTCCTCGTTACACTTGGAAAGCGAGTGAGATCTAATTCTGATAATAATCAGGAGGCTCGGCAACACGCAAGAAAATTGACACACAGCCGCCGGACGGAAGAATCATCGGCGAGAAACCGCGGCAGCCGGTTTAGCTTAAACGCTAAGGCTAATATTTTACGGCGCATCGCAAGTAGAATCGCGGCGCGGCGCGGCGACTCGAAAGACGAGCGAAGAAACGTCGCTTTGGTGAACAGGAAGTGGCGCGGCGCGGACTACGTTGGAATGCAAATGGAGGATCCGCGCGAAGACCGAGTGAGGCGGCTCTACAAGAAGAAGGAACGAAACGAAGCGCGAGCGCGGAAGTGCGCGCTCGCAAAATTGACCGATAGACCGCGGGAAAAAGTTTACTCGCGCCGGAGTCTGGCGGTCTCGTTAATGCATAAATTCCTCGTAGATCTTCGCGCGCGCGCGCGCGCGCGGTGCATCCCGGCGTAGGTATATAGTGCTCGGTTATCTCCATCGTCGAGCGCGATCGATCCTCGCCGACGAATCTCGGGTTTAAATCCCGATGGATCGTCGGATGGCGGATCGTTGACCGTTCCAGGACGATGCTCCGGTAATCGTTACCCCAGGGTAACGTATCAAACGTTCAATTCATTATGGCGAGATGAGTGAGTATCGCAGACCCATTGCTTAGGTATGGGTAAACATATGGTGACGGTCCATTTTTAGCATCAACAGGCGCCAGTCCAATTTCTTCTCGTATAGACGATTTTCTCTTTTAGTTGAAATAATCACAGATTCGTCAAGTAAGGTCTTGACCATAATCAATGAGAGCTTTTTTATTTGACATTTCGTTTAATTTCATAGTAATTATTTAAAAAATATATATATCTCTGTGAGTTAATAAAGAATTAAACATAAAAAAATTTTTTGTGGTCGTCTTTGGTTCATTTTTATTTATATTGTTATTTACAAGATCGAACTGTTTTTCTTTTTTTTTTAAATTTTATACATTTCTAAAAAAGTTAAAATATTTAAATAATAATTATTATTAGAACTAGACCGCCTATGTGAATAACACAAATAAATTCGATAGCGGTTCTTCTGCGGTTACGGCTGAAACTTGATGCCTAATAAATTCTATATGAATTTCTTAACTTCATGTTCAGCTGTTGAGCTGTATTTTTCATTTTATTAAATCTCTATATCCAAAACCTAATTATTTAATAATTTATTGTAGAATTGTAATTGTTTGATTAAAGATACGTTAGAAAGTTAGAAGAAGATAATGACGGATATATTAAACGATTAGCAAAGACGCTTATCCAAATAAATAATAATTAAATCTATCATTTATCAATTTGGCAAGAAATTTTTAACGATAAGATTGTCGAACTAACGAATACAATAATTTATAAATCAATTTCATGAATCAAAAATTAATTAAAGACTAAACAAAGTTGAAGAATAAACAAAGAACGATAGAATAAAATAGGTCGATTTTAAGCTAAAAGTGCAACAAAAGCTATGTGTATAATGTATATACATGATCTTATGTTTTTTGGATCGCTAAATTCGATTGTAATTCTTTTATCTATCTAAATCCATGGGAAAGTGATCAAAATTCGCGTTAAAAGGATTTTAATAGTAACTCGGTTAGTGACAATTTTGTTTTAATTGTTACGCGGCGGTGGCTGAGGTTGCACGCTCAGGGGAACTTTGAGCTTTGCAGAAATGAGTAACTTTCAATTTTAGATGTTAATTAATTTTAACTTTACATGTATGATATGTTATCGTTTAGAATATGCTATTAACTGATCATATAAAGCCTGATAAAGATTTTGCATATGAATTAATCGAAAGACAGATTATTGTTATTTAAAAAAGTATTATGTCAATTTGAATCCTGTTAATGTTTTTCTAAAAACATAAATCTCGTCCTCATTATTCAAAATTAAATATTTTGTTTATACATATATTATTAAATAGAAATATATAAATAATAAAAACCTAACAAAATTCCCCAAAAATACAATAAGTAAGTAAGGCAGATGGGAATCGGCGTAGTTATTGGTACGCAATTACCTTATTCTAAAAGTCAAACGTTTTGGCTATTTTTTTTAGCCATTTTCAGTGATAATTTACAATAGTTACATTTAATTCTCGCTTTTAGTTCCTTAATGTGTTCATTCTTCCACGTCTAGTGAGTGAGGAAGCAGTTATAGGTACCTCCAATAGCTGTCCGTGCAGTTGAAGGGATGCACGGTCTAGTTGTATGTCGTGAAATTTAAATCAGTGTAAAAAAGAGAAGAAAATTGATTTAAAAAAATTATGTTACAGTTCACTCATCTCGAATGTAATAAAACACACATTTCGCATCTTAGCAACGATAAAATTAGTAAATAACAGTTATGAATAAATAGTTAAAATTAACGATGTATAAACTTGGTCAATCGTATACTTCTAGTTTTTCAAGAAATATATACTTCTAGTCTTTCAGTTCTAGCGGCTCATTTATGTAATTGTAGAGTTAGTATTCATGTAGCAGGTTGTTATTCACATGTAGCAACGGTTCTTCGATTTTTTGCTCATGCTCGTTATTTGGTGCTTCAATATTTGTTTCTGGTGAATA